GCGACGGATGCTTCGCGCGGTCAGTGCTTACAAGTCCTGGCTGGACATCAAGGAGCCATCCTTTTCTATTTTCTCTGTTGCACCCACGTCTTGCAAGGACGAGTGCTGGCTCATGCTCGTTTATCCCTTGGTTGTCTCTCGCATTCTCTCTCGCTCTCTCTCTCTCTCTCGTTCTCTGTATGTTGATTATGAACATCTATATAATCTATATATAGATATACATATATATATTGTGTACCCCGTTCTCTCTATGTGTTTATCTCTCTCTCTCTCTACCTCACTCTCCTTCTCGTTTATGGTATCTCTGTCTCTCGCTCTCCCCCTCTCTCTTTTGAAATGTGTTTATATATGTATGTTAAAGATACTCGTATCGCGAATAATGATGAGATCATACAAAGTACCGGCTCGGACCCAGAACATTGTTTTTTAGCAACGTGCGTTGTACAATCTATGTGTTGCAAATTATAGTGCGCAATCCGTGTTATGAAAGTGGCTGTGTAGAATAAGTGTGTCCACCAAGTTGTGTGCAGTCTGTGTTTGCCATCTGTTGTGTGTAATCGATGTGAGATCGATGTGGTGCAACATATGTGGTGCAACTTCGACTGTGCAGCATTACGTTGCACACTATATGCGGTGCGATGGATGTGCAGTATAGGTTGCGCGATTTATGAGGTGCAATACATGTAGTGCAATATGGTGCGCGCAATGTATGTTATGCAATTTGTTGTGTTCAATATAGGCTGTGCAAAAATACGAAAATACGTTGTGCAATGGATGTGGTGCAATCCACGTAATGAAATATAGGTTGTGCAGCATATGTGGTGCATTCGGTGCTGTGCGCAGTATACGTGGTGCACCCTGTGCTGCGCAATATAGGTAGTTCAACATACGTGGGGCAGTGTATGTTGTGGAGTTGCTGTGGCGCAACGCATGCTGTGCAATATACAGCGGAGCAACGCATGCGGTGCAATATACATGTATATGATATGCAATTATATATACGTAAACAAATGTATATATCATATGTGGCGCAATCTATGTAATGCGATCCAGATGACGACGCACTATGCTGTGCAAACTATGTGCAGTACATATGTGAACCGTCTCTTGTACATATGTATATTTAACTAGTCACAAATCGATGCAGCAGCATGTACATACGCGTATACATGATAATATGGTATATGTGTAGGCTTATACATGAGTCAGGTGCATGCACATGTATTTGCATGTGGGTGCCATGACATTACCCTTTTGATCGATATCGCATGGCCTTCGGTCCATCCCGTCACTGTGCCCGGGTTGTGGATCAGAGTTCTCAGGGACGTTTCTTGGGGTCTCTTCGGAGCGCTCTCGGGTGCCTCTTGGGTGCAGTTATTCGGGCAGTCCTGGGAGCCTTTCGGGTGCCTTTGGGGGCCTCATGGGGCCTCTTGGTGGCCTCTTGGGGCCTCCTGGGAGCCCCTTGGGGGCGAGGGCAACTGCTCGTTCGGGTTCCCCATCTGGGCCCCCTCTTAGATCCATCGTTGGCGCTTCTTGGGGCGTATCTTGCCGTCTTGGGGTCTTCTTGGGGGCTTCTGGGGCCGTCGTGGGGTGATTTTGGGGGCCTCTTGAGTTGCCTTGGAACGCCGGAAGGCCGACAAGGCGAGAATACCAAAAACGTTCACACACCCACTGGCAATCAAAGAGTTTGGCCTTTTTCGGGCTTGGCCTTTTTTGGGCAGTCTCGGGAGGCCGCTTGGAAAACTCTTGGCTCTGGCAACGTCTTGGGGCCAGCTTGGGCGATCTGTAGGCGTCCCGGTGCCCTCTTTGGACAATCTGGGGGTCTCGTGTGACCCTTTTGACATGCTTCGGGGCCCCCTGGGGCCCCAGAAAGTCACGCGAGGGGGTGCGGGGAGACGCGGGGGAACCCAGGGGGGCACGCGCCGAACCCCGAGAGATTTGGCAATTGGGGGTCCGAGCCTTTCAAGGGATCCTCAGGATTGGGGACTGGGGCTTAAGGCATTCGGAAAAGGACCTGAGGACACGCCTACGTCGTGCCCGGAGGCAAGGTGACAGACATTTACATTTACATTACAGAGGTATATACACATATGTGATGGGTACATAAACTATTCACCGTTTGTATGTACCTTGCGTAGACAGGTTTGCAGCCGATGCGGAAGCGCAAATGTTCAGAATGCCAGGCGGTGGGTGTCAAATCCAGGTGTGCTCCAACGGCGGGCAAATGGCTCGCTTTGAGCATATGTTGTTGCATGGCGATATTGCCAAGATACTCTCCGCACCCCGAACATCACTTTAAAGTAATTATCCTGGCGATGCACTCAACACTTGCGCAACGTGCTGCCAGAAGCGATGGGATGATATTACAGGGGTTGATCGCGTGGCAAGGCTTTATCTGTGTTGCGAACGCTAGTTGGGAGGCTCGCCAAATTGCGCGATTCGGAGGGCCTCGATCAATGGACGAGGGCTTGATGAAAGCGATGAATTGTTCCCCTGGATCGAAACGAAAGAGAGCTACCCCTAAACAACACTCGAAACTGGCAGCGCTGTCCCAGATCGCACCCCCCACCCCCCCACCCCCAAGGGAACTGCGAAGCCTAATTCAGGTATGCGGCGGGTGCTTACTATGCTGCCCGCCCCAGCAGCCCTCCATCTGATCCTGGGTATGACCCCAAACATGTTGCACCCGCTCCCCCCAGCAGCTCTCGAAAGTGGCAGCAGTTTCGCGGATCACAGCCCCCCCAGGAGTGGCGGTGTTTAGTCTGAGTCTGGGTATGACCCCACTGCGCTGGCCCCCCCAGCAGCCCCCGAAAGTGGCGACAGTTTCGCAGATCGCAGCACCCCAGGAATGGCGAGGTCGAATCTGAGTCCGCGAATGACTTTACTGTGCTGGCCCCCCAGCAGCCATCGAATGTGGCGACAGTTTTGCAGGTCGTTGCCCACAAGGGATGGCGAAGTCGAATTTGAGTCCGCGCATGGCGTCACGGTGCCTCCCCCGAGCAGCCCTTGAAAATGCCTGCCGTTTCGCAGATCTCAGCCCCCCAAAGATGATGAGGTCAGATCTGGGCCAGCGCACGGCGTCAAAGGACTGGCCCCTCCAGCAGCCCTCGAAAGGAGGGGGCAATCTCCCAGACCGCAGCCCCCCACGGATGGCGACGCCGAATCTGAATTCGCATATGGCATCATCGCGTTGCCCCCCCCCTCCCCCCAGCAGCCCTCGAAAGCGGCGGCAGTTTCGCAGGCCGCTGCCCCCTAGGGAAGGCGAGGTCGAGTCTGAATCCGCGTATGGCGTTACGGTGTTGCCCCCCCCCCAGTCCTCGAAAGTGGCGGCGGGCTCACAGATCGCAGCCCCCCAGGGACGGCGAGGTTTGAGCCGAGTCCGCGCATGCGTCACGATGCCCCCCGCCCCCCCACCCCCCGGCAGTTCTCGAGCGTGGCGGCCGTTTCACAGATTGCAGCCCGTCAGGGATGGCGATGTCGAATCTGCGTCCGCGCATGGCGTCTGAGGACTGCCCCCGCCCAGCAGCCCTCGAAAGTGGCGACAGTTTCGCTGGCCGCAGCCCCGCAGGGATGGCGAGGTCTAATATGGGTCCGCGTATGGCGTCACTGTGCTGGCCTCCCCAGCAGCCTTCGAAAGTGGCGGCAGGTTCGCAGATTGCAGCCCCCCCAGGGATGGCGAGGTCTGATCTGAATCCGCGTATGGCGTCACTGTGCTGGCTCCCCCCCCCAGCAGCCCTCGAAAGTGGCGACAAGTTTGCAGATTGCAGCCCCTCATGGATGGCGGGTTCAAATCTGAATCCGCGCATGGCGTCATGCCCGCCAGCAGCCCTCGAAAGCGGCGACAGTTTCGCAGATCGTAGACCACCAGGGACGGCGAGGTCTAATCTGAGTCCGCGTATGGCGTCACTACGTTGGCCCTGCAGCAGCCCTCGAAAGTGGCTACCGTTTCGCAGATCGCATCGCACCCCCTAGGGATGGCGAGGTCAGAGGCAGGTATGAGAGGATATATATATATATATATATGCCCAATAGCTATGCTTCCCTTTTTCGTTCAGTGAGCAGTGGGGAACGAACATAAGGTTGATCCGTAGTCTGTCGTTGGCTCGAGATGGACCGCGCGGCCGGGGCGATTGCTCCTTGGCTCGGCGCGGTGCTGCATTTCGGCCAGTACTTAGAGTGGGGGCGCCGAAGGGCCCTGGCGCGCCCCGACTTGGTGTGTCCCGCGCACCCGCTGATTCCAGCCTGTCCTGCGCGCCCCTCCCTGCAGTGCCCGCCCGTGGCGCCGTGCGAGGTCGGGGTGCCGAGCGAGAACCGTCTGGCGCAGCTGGAGGCAGCCATCGCCCGAGTGTTGGCTGCGGCCAGCTCCTCGACACCTTGTACCCCTTGCGAGGCCCTTGCTGGGGGCGAGGAGAGCTCCTTCGACTGGATCCTGGGAGTCAGGCTGTTCGTCGTGGGCGTGCTGGTCGGGACCGTGTGCGCTCTCGGCGTCGTGGCCTGCTGCTCGCGCGCTGGCGGTCGAAGCTCGAGAGTGCGGTGGCCGCCACGGAGCACGGCTGCTCTGCTGGACGTGGAGACGCCGGAGAGCAGGAGGCCTAGGGCTGAGCTGAGCCGATGGGTCTGGACATCCCCGAGCGTCAGATCTTGGTTCATCTTCCTGATGACAACGTCCCGCACCATCACAGAGTGCTGATAGTGAAGCTGGAGGGCTCGCGGTGGGAATGGTCGACTCCTGATTTCTCAGTGCGCGCCGTCGACTTGGCCGATCGCGCGGCCGTCGTGTCGATGGTGCCACTGCAGAGAGCGTCGCCCTTCCCCCCGCAACACCATGTGTACTCCTTCGACAACCCGATCGTCGCCCCTCAGGATCTGGCTCGCGTCCGCTCCGAGGGCCGGGCGCTCGCGGAGATCCTGGGTGGACCTCCGGCCCCGGCGGGTGGCGTTCCAGGCGGCGACGAGGGCGGCTCCTTTCTGTGCTCGGACCCGTCGTGTGCGTTCTTCGCCGAGGATGTTGACGACCACCTGCTGGGGTCGGAGGCCACGGCTATCGCCCGA